AGAGACAAAGGGGCCTGAGCTCTGGCACCTGCCCAGGGGCTGAGGAGGGGGGCACGGCCACGGCACCTGGCGTGAGAAGGGCTCTCCCACAGACGTCCCCAACGGCGTAGATCCCGCTCCTGGTGGTGTTCTGGTACTCGTCCACCACCACGTGGCCCTTGGCATCCACCTGCACGCCCTGCCAGGGGAAACAGCCACCTCTGCACGCGTCCCAGGAGGGCTGGGGCAGCTGATGCCCACGGGGGAACCTGTGCTGGTGGCCACGCTGGTCCCAGCTGCTGGCAGGACACGGTGGGAACACCATCCCGTGGGACCTCCAGAGATCCACGGGACCTTCAGAGACCTGTGGCACCTCCCGAGTCCTGTGGGGCCTCCAGGGAGTTGTGGGACCCCTGGGAGACCCATGGGACCTCTGGAGACCTGTGGGACAACTGGAAACCCATGGGCCCCCTGGAGATCCATGGGATGTCTGGAGACCCATAGGACCTCCAGAGACTTGTGAGACCCCCAGAGACTTGTTGGATCTCCTGAGACCCACGGGAGCCCTGTGGGACCAGCCCGGAGGGGACATGTTGCCATCTCACCACTTGGTCCAGGCACAGCTCCTGGGTGTTGGGCTCCCTCCCCACAGCCCACAGCAGACAGTCAACATCCCGGATCACTCCCTCCACCGGCTTGTGCCCGGGCACCGAGGAGGTCACTGTCACATCCAGCAGCCCAGACGGGGACTTGGTGACCCTCTTGACCTGGCAGGGAACAGGGAGCATGGTGGGACAAGGACCTGCCAGCAAATGCAAGCAATGCTGACCCTCCCCAGCCTGGCCTCTCCAGGAGGGACAGGTCAAGCTGCTGGGCTGCTCTGCATGTACCTGTGTGTGCTTCCAGACATCCACCCCGCTGTTCTCCAGCTCCTGGGTGCAGTTCGAGCTGATCAGGGAGTCAAAAGTCCTCAGGACCTGGGCAGGAACCCACCAGCCCCATCAGATGAAGGTTGACAGGTGAAGACACAATCTGGCAGCCCCTCCACTAGCCCCACCCAGTCCCAGAGAGGTTTGGGGCACTTGTGGTTAATGACTAAGTTCTCTTCTGGTTTTCCTTATCAATTTTTTTAATTATTATTATTATTATTTTATTTTTTTCAAGTCACACCTTGAAATAAAGCTGCAGGGAAAGGGTGTGGTGGCACACACAGCTGCAGAAATGCCAGGCACGTGGCTCAGTGCTGCCACAATCTTCCTGGCAGCACAGGGACATTCTTCTCACCCCATCTGCCCCACCCCAGGCCCAACAGCCAAACATCACCTTCTCCTGCAGCTTTTCATTTCATAGAATCACAGACTGGTTTGGGTTGGAAGGGACCTTCCAGATCATCCAGATCCAACCCCCCTGCATGGGCAGGGACACCTCCCACCAGCCCAGGCTGCTCCAAGCCCCATCTGGACACAGCCCCCCCCAGCAGCAGGGCTCCCCTCCCTGCTTCTTCCCCATCCCCCCACCAAGTCAGCCCCCTCCTCCACCAGCCACCTGGTGGTGACCAGGGAAACCCATCAGCCCAGGCTGCTCTACCTTGTCCTGGCGGATCAGCAGGGACGATTTGGAGCCCAGAGTGGAAAGGATTCCCACCATCTCCACCGCGATGTATCCTGCACCCACCACCACGCTGCGCCTGGGGAGGGGATGGGTGGGTGGGTGGGCTCAGAGCTGCTGGCAGCACCAGGCCGGGCTGGGGGGGGG